AAATTAAAGCCTGGGCAAGCCTCATAACAGGTCCCACTGCCACTGGAGAAGGAGCCATTGATCCTGGTGGGAGAGACGCGTCACTTTGCCACCTGGAGGAAGAGGAGTGACACCCAGGGGACTGACAGTGCTGCTGGGGTAGAGTCAACCAGTGGAAGCGGGCGCATTGTCCACCACTCTCCAGTCCCACTCTGCCCTCCTGTTGGAAGTACCTGCCAGGAGCCACTACTCTGCAGGGATGTGAACTCCAGAGTCACAGCCAAAACCCCCAGAAGGATGGATTGGAGCTGAGAAGAGGAATTAAGTGACAGCGGACTCCATCCTCTGGGGCCCAGGGCTCCCACCCGGAACGAGGTTCCCGTCCTTGCCTTCTCAGCTAAGGATGACTGAGCTTTGTATACGCATTTGGGAGGTGGATTCTGGAAATGTTCAAACTAGCACATGATGCTGATTAATACAGCGCTTTTGACAGTAATATTTTAAATGGAAACACAAGTCCAGGGGCTCAGCACCATCATTTGGAAGCGGAAAATAGCAATTCCTTTCTCAGACATGTGCGCCAGCTCTGAAGGATTAATTATCTGCGCATGCAGAAGCAGCGGGGTGGGACAGCTTGGCAGGGATTCCGGGACGTGTGTCATCCTCACTTCCAGCCTGGCTCGTCACAGTTATTAGAATCTTAAGGGGTTTGAGATACTGGAAGCTATATTGGTGCACAGAAGTCTGGAATAGGCGAGCGAATCTGCCAAATGCCATTTTTACCTTTCTGGATTAGTACAACTGCTAATTTTTGTTGCATTGCTCCAGCGATAATACCGGCTTGAATTTTGGTGGATGAGCTTATGAATGCGAATCATAAGCCCCTGAGCTCAGTGACTTAGCACGAAGCAAATACCATCACATAGAATGTGTGACGTGTGGCCAGAACCTCTGCCCCTTTCCCCTAGGGCAGTCGCTCTCCTGATGCTACCTGAAGTTTGTCTCTAGCATCTGTGTCTCTCTGTCCCGTAGGCTGCCTTGTCTCATCCAGGCAGCTCTGTAGGTGAGGCAGCCCCCTTGTCTGCCTCGTCAGAAAACATTTGAGGTTTTAAAGGAGCAGTGTGCTGGAAAGGTCCCATTTTCTGCCACTCCACGGTCACTGACACCTCTCCTCTCTGCTGTCCGTGGGTCAGACTTACAGGACTCTTTTCCTCAGGTGTCCTGGAGTTCTGGTGGAGGGAGTCCTCAGCCCTCTGTTTACCTTGAGGTTCTAGCAAAGGTGTTACGAGGCGTTCATACTCCTGAGTTCCATCGCCCGGGAGTCTAGAGTGGTCCTCAACCTTCCTAATGCTGCGTTTAATACAGTTCCTCACGTTGTGGTGACACACAACCACAAAATTTTTTTGTTGCTACTTCATATCTGTAATTTTTCTACTGTTATGAGTCATGATACAAATATCTGATATGTAGGATATGTGAGTGTGGTGAGAACCACTGCTTGAGACTCTAGTGGGTTGTATGTCCTTTATATATCAGCAGCAGACAGAGTCATGGCCACTGGGCCAGTTCCTCCTGAGTCCTGGATGCTTGTTGTCCACACCCTTGCAGGTCCTCTTTCTGGCCATTCTGTTGGTGGCTTCTGCATTGTGGGATGCATTTACATGGGGCCTTGTTCAGTGGCCCTTGCCTGGCGCTGCTGTAGAAGTGGGTGTTAGGTGAGACCTGGTTGAGGGAGTGGAGAGGACATTAACAGTGGTGACGGTGGCAGCAGTCTGGGCATTGTCAGCCTGGGACCTGAACTAGAGGTGGGAGGACACTGTGGGGTCTGCTCATAGTCCTGGTGGGTGGCCTGGTCCGCGTGGCCTGGCTGTAGATAGGATCAGCACAAGACTGAATCCCATGTTCCTGCCAAGTACCAGAACAGGATGCTGGCCCTTCCTGAGTGACTGGAGGGAACAGTGCAAATCCTCTTTGACCCCATGCCTGACATGGTTGAGGGTATCTTGGCTCAAGGTCAGAAAGAAAGGACATAGTTGGAATCCACAAATAGACCTGAGGGTCTGTGGAGATGGCCGTGGAAGGACTGATGGACCGCGGCTGCGTTCATAGACTTGAATCTATCCCTTGGTTTTACAGGCTCCCTCTCCAAGGTGCCTGAGATCTGGAGTCTGGCCAGATTTCTGCTAGGATGGCCTCTCATCTACGCATCTCCACACACAGCTGAGCACAGGGCCCTGAACAAGAGGCCTTTCCTCTGTTTGGGGTGATTTTTGTGCAGCTCAAATGGCCAACTCCATGAAGGGATGCTGTGGCCAGGGAAGGGGCCATATGGTGGACCCCCATCCTGGATATACTTGGGTGGCACTGAGAAAGAAACTGCCTGGCAGAGGCCAGTGGCTGAGGCTGGGAGGCCTGGCAGGGCCCTGAAGGTGGTCAGATGTGAGCCAGGCAGTGGGCCAAGGGATCTCTCTCTTGTCTTGAGTCTAACACCTGCCGTCTCAGGCAGCTGACAGACTTAGGTTGCCCTGGAGAGTGTGGGGAAGTGGAAGAAGCAACAGGAGAAATCACTACAATTCCTAGTCACAAGGGACCTGAATTCCTTGTAATCCCCTGATCTGAGTGCCTACAGCTGCTCTGAGCTGAGACCTTCAGGAGTTCCTGATGGCAGGGGAGTGGTTTCTGGTGGGTTTGACTGGGGCGTGGCTATCTCTATATAATCTGCCCCTGAGCACAATGAAGAGGGCATTCTTGGGGAATTCAAGGATGACCCGTGTCGTTGTCTCTCTGTCTGTGTGTGTCTGTGTATTTCAACCTCCAACCCCCTTGCCCGAAGCTCACGTACTGGTGGGTAATAGTGTACAGAGCGCAGACACGGGGGCGCGGTGCGCGGCAGATGTCAGTGGCTTTGGGGTTGTCCAGGGCATCAAGACATAATCCTTTGCCCCCTTACACTTAAAAAGGACCTGTCATTTGTAGAGGAAGGGTTTCCGTTCGTGGGTGCCTGTGAATATTCCAGAGATCAACACTGAATGCTGTTCTTTATGAACTATTTATCAGAGAAAGAGAGGTCGGTTTACTTACTTGTGTCTGTGTGAGCATGTAACCACATCTGCGCATGTGCTCTCACTCACTCAACCTGTGTGTGCTCAGAGCCCAGAGGAGTTCTTCCGGAGTCTCCTACTCACTCTCTGCCTGTTCCTGTGAGGCAGGGTCTCCCTTTCCCAGCCAGACTGAAAACCGGCAAGTCTCAGTGATCTTGTCTCAATCCACTCTTGGAGCTGGAGTTGGTTACACAGTTGTGTGCATAGGACACCTGGCTTGTAACAGTGGGTGCTGGGGTCTAAACTCTGGTGGTCCTCATGATTGCACAGCAAGCATTTTTAACCGGGGACCCCCCTCCTCAGTTTTTGAGATGGAAGCTAGGGTGGCTGACCACTGAGCCCAGGAATCCTCTCCAGCCCTGGAATTTCGGGCCATTGCCACACTAGGATTGTTTTGGTTTGGTTTTGTTTTTTTGTGGTTTTTTTTTTTTTTTTTGGTTGTTTGTTTTTGTTTTTGAGACAGGGTTTCTCTGTAGCTTTCGAGCCTGTCCTGGAATTAGCTCTTGTAGACCAGGCTGGCCTCGAACTCAGAGATCCACCTGCCTCTGAGTGCTGGGATTAAAGATGTACACCACCGGGGGCTGGAGAGATGGCTCAGCGGTTAAGAACATTGCCTGCTCTTCCAAAGGTCCTGAGTTCAATTCCCAGCAACCACATGGTGGCTCACAACCATCTGTAATGAGGTCTGGTGCCCTCTTCTGGCCTGTAGGAATACACGCAGACAGAATATTGTATACATAATAAATAAATAAATATTTAAAAAAAAAAAAGCTGGGCGATGGTGGCGCACGCCTTTAATCCCAGCACTCGGGAGGCAGAGGTAGGCGGATCTCTGTGAGTTCGAGACCAGCCTGGTCTACAGAGCTAGTTCCAGGACAGGCTCCAAAGCCACAGAGAAACCCTGTCTCGAAAAACAAAAACAAAAAAAAAAAAAAAAAGATGTACACCACCACTGCCCAGTAGTTTTTGGTTTTTAAGACAGGGTTTTTCTATATAGCCCAGAATGTCCCAGAACTCTCTGTAGACCAGGCTGGCCTCGAACTCAGTGATCCGCCTGCCTCTGCCTCCTCCGAGTGCTGGGATTAAAGGTGTTTGCCACTTCCACCACCACCACAGGCCACAAACTACATAAACTCAGGGTCTGTTACTTTAAAATAAAAAGCTCTAGACTCAGTGATAGCTTTTATTTGGAAAAGGTCCATAGCTTTAATTTGGCTCAGTGAGCTGCTTTGTGTGCTGAGGATGAACAGCTGCCCCACGGAGCCTCGGTCTCCACCCGGCTTGTCTCAGGAGGCCCATTTGTCCTGTCTGGATGACTCCCACTGGAGCTATGAGAGGACATTCAGAGCGGCAAGCTGCTCAAGGAACGTGATTGTTCTGGGGACCTCAGCCCTGGCCTGCGACCTTCTTTCTCTCATTGACATGGAGGGAGGGTTTGCTAGCCGGTGTGGTAAGAGACTGGCTGAGCTGAGCAGCCCAGCTGGGGCTGGGTCTTGCCTCCTCAGGGTGAGTTAGAAGGCCCACAGGGCCTGCCCCTTATCTGCACAGACAGCTGCTCACAGTGCTTTCTTTGGCCACATTCATGAAGTGGACCCTCTGGGGTGCTCTGTGAACCCTTCAGTGCCTGCCAGCAGGGGAGAGGGGTGTGGCCACCCTGGCCCTTTGGGCAATGTTCCTGAGTGAAGGAACAGAAGAATCCCATGGTCAGGCTTGTGTGGCCCTGAAATACAAACATCTGGCTGGCTTGGGCAGGTCCTTCGGTTCCCACCCTGTGACCATCCTGCCCAGGGGTTTGTACCTCCTGGATGGTCTCCTCTGTCACCCTCCTCAAGTCAAGACTCTAGCCGTGGTTGGGACCCCTGCTCTGAGTTCTTGGAGTCACAGACGGGCACTCACACACCTCTTCTGTTTGTCCTGCAGGTTTTGGGATTTGAAGTTGATGCTGTGAACTCCGTGCAGTTTTCGAACCACACAGGTAGGACTACAAGGTGGAAGTGAGCGTGACATATAACCTGGCCTGAGGCTGGAACCTAGAAGTGCCACTCTGTGCACGGCCTGTGCCCACATCATGGCTGACTTGTGTGACCACTCTTCTGGAGCTGACTGGTGGGAAAACCTCTGTGCCTCAGTTTCCTCCTCTGTTAAGCTGGCAGTCATAGCACTAATGTGTTAGGAGAGCTGACCAGGTCAACCACAGGGAGTGCTGCCGTGTCCCCTTGCTGACAACTGGTGACCTGCATGTTTATATGCTTTTCCACTATGGCACGTCCTTGGGCTAAGGAGAGGGGTTGGGTGGACTGCCCTGAACTGGGGTGTAAACAGCTAATTGCCCCCTATCCACATCTTCTGGGACACAGTTCTACAGGCCTACCTAGGGCACTGAGTGTCTGCTTCCTGGATTCTTTTGATGGAGACTAATCAGGGCAGGGCAGAGACCACCGTTCAGCCCCCACAGTATAGGAACTGGGGTGCTTCCAGGGTATTGGGATGCTACTGAGGCAATGAGCCTAGAGCATCCAGTCTGGGCCTAAGGCCAGCCCTCAGAACAGCTCACTGGGCTTCCTCAAGACGGGTAGGTGGTTGTCATCAGCTGAGATGGTCACGAGGGAAACTGGGGCTACCGCATCCACAGCTTAGCCTGTCTTCTTCCCGCAGGCTATGCCCATTGGAAGGGCCAAGTGCTGAGTTCACAGGAGCTCCATGAACTGTATGAAGGTCTCAAGATAAACAGCGTGAATAAGTACGACTACGTGCTCACTGGTGAGGGTCCCCAGGTCCTGGTTTAGGGTTCCGGGCAAGCTGGTCAGACACAGATCCCCTTTCTAGGCTCAGACCTTCTCCCTGCTTCCTTCCCAGAGGGTCTTGGTGTGCACTGACACCAACACTTTCTGGAGGCCTCTAGAGTTTGGCCACCCTGGGTCGAAGGTAAATCACTATATGAGTCCTTCTGTTCTGTTTCTGGTTGTATTTTCTACATATTGAATCTGTTTGCTAATTTATTGTGTGTATATGCGTGTCCTGGTCCACACAATTGCACATAATGGTGCCACAGCATGGGTGCAGAGGTCTTTCCGCCATGTGGGTCCTAGAGATCGAAATCAGGTTTTCAGATACAGCAGCAAACATCCCTATTCCGTGAGCCATCACACTAGCCCCAAGTTAGGTTTCGTTTTTCCTAAGACAAGGTTTCTCTGTGTTATGGTCCTGGCTATCCTGGAAGTCGCTTTGGAGGCTAGCCTAGTCTACATAGTGAGTTCTAGGTGAACCAGGGCTTCATACATAAGGAGACCCTGCCTCCAAAAAATACATAAAATACATAAAAATGTATTTATGTGTTTTTATGTATATAGGTGTTTTGTCTGCATGCACATCACAAAGGGCTTCAGATCCCCTGAGAATATAGGGATAGACAGTTGTGAGCTGTCATGTGGGTGCAGGGAATTGAACTCGGGACCTCTGGAAGAGCAGCCAGTGCTCTTAATGACTGAACCATCTCTTCAGTCCCTGAATAAAAAATTTTAAAGAGACACAGGGACTGCAGAGATGGCTCAGTGGTTAAGAGCATTTAAAACAGGCGGTGGTGGCACACACCTTTAATTCCAATACTCGGGAGGCAGAGGCAGGCAGATCTCTGTGAGTTCGAGGCCAGCCTGGTCTACAGAGTGCGTTCCAGTACAGGCTTCAAAGTAACAGAGAAGGCCTGTCTCCGAAAATCAAAAAGAAAAAGAAAAGAAAGAAAAAGAGCACTTAACCACTCTTGCAGAGGACCCAGGGTCAGTTTCCAACACACATAGGGCAGCTCACAACTGCCTGTAACTCCAGCTCCAGGGGATCTGATCTCATCTTCTGTCCTCTTAATGTTCATACACAGACGTACACTCAGGCACACACATAAAATAAATATTTTTAAAAAGTGATATCTTTTGTTTAAAGCGGAATTTGCCCATTATCTGTATTCTCGTCATTCAGAACTCTTGTGTCCCTGGGAGCTGGCTGCCTGTCTTCCCCTCTATGAGTACAGACCTTTAGAGACCTTGCCTAGTTCCTGTCCCCCACTCTGATGCATGCTTGATTTGATGGCCCTGGTGGTCAGTGTGCCCTGGTGGTCAGTGTGCCCTGTTTCGGGAGGATAAAACCTGGGTTTTCCCTCCCAAGGTTACACAAGGGACAAGTCCTTCCTGGCCATGGTGGTAGACATCGTGCGGGAGCTGAAGCAGCAGAACTCCCAGCTCGTGTACGGTGAGAACTGGGCCATGATGCCTCTCCCACGGTGTGCCTCGTGCTGATCTCACCCTCAGGAAGGGGCTCAGCCATCTCGCTTCATGCTTGGGTGGTGGGGTGGACACACCATATCTAGTTTGTCTGTGTGGAGCGTGACATGATGGTTGCCGGGCAGCACTGGGTCCATGTGCCACCAAGAGCAGAGGCGGTGCTGAGCAGACGTGCAGACTCAGGCTGCTCCTGAGTACCAGTCTCTCAGGTGTGCATAGCATGCTCTACCCTGAAGGCCAAGAGCCCATTGCTTTGTCTATGCAGTGCTCTGTGGTCCAAAGGGAATGTGCTTGAACCTGGAAAGACACAGTAAAAGCTCGTTTAGTATTCTCTCAGCCAGGCTGGGGGGAAAGGCACTGTTCCAGTCCAGGTGACCTGAGGTAATGTGTGCTTGAGACAAAGGTGTGAGTGATGGTGTGTGTGAAATTATCCTGAGGACCTAGTTGTCTTGGGCAGAGAAGTGCAAGGTGCTGGGGCACACAACTAACTGTTCTTGTGTCTCCGTGTGTATGTAATGTTGACATGATTGAGAAACCAGGGGTGAGGCTCAGTTGGCAGAGTGCTTGCTTAGCATACATGAAGCCTGGACCTGATCCCCCACCACATAACTGAATGTGGAGGTGTGCACCTGTAATCCCAGTCCTCAGGGTCAGAAGTTCAGGGTCATCCCAGCTACACAGTGAGTTCAAAGCCAGCCAGGGCTGATGAGAGCCTGTCGTCAGTTAAGAGTGCGCACTCCTCCTGCAGAAGCCCCGATTTCAGTTCCAAGCGCCCACTCTGGCTCATAGCTGCCTGTAAATCCCACGACAGAGGCTCTCATGCCCTTTTCCTGAACCCCTGGGCACCTGCACACATGGTCCATGTGCACACACGCAGGCACACACTCTGGCGGTTAGAGCAAGCGTTGGACGTGGAGGCAGGTGTGGTGTCCATGCCTGCATCCTCAGCTACATGGGAGGCTGAGGCAGGAAGGTGGTGAGTGCAAGGCTAGCCTGGGCTGCACAGTGAGAAAGCAGACAGTGTGGAGGTCTGTCATCAGGAGCTCTAGTGGTTGCTGACCAGATGCTGTGTCTCCACAGTGTGCGATCCTGTGATGGGGGACAAGTGGAACGGCGAAGGCTCCATGGTGAGTGCACTCCTCCGCTATTAGACACGGGGTCTGTGCATCTGCTTTGAACCAAACAGAAGGTCACCTTCCTGGGTAAACCTGTGTGGACCCCATCCAAGGCTGAGTCACCCCTGTTAGGAAGTTGGTCAGATGGAGGACAGGCATCAGCTAGGGTGGTAACCACAAACAGTCTGTCAGTCTTGGGCTCGCTGTCCTTTTCCTTTTAACAATGAGGAAGTCACTCTGAGCTCACCAGCCTTTCAAAACTGGGTAGTGGATGGGTCACAGTCCATGAGTGAACCGGTCCTGTCACCGTCACAGAAACCTCAGACTACGGAGATGGCCCAACATTTTAAAGTCAGTGTTTTAACCTTGGCATTTGTCTGTGTGGCTTTGACTCATCCATTACTCTTTGTGAGTTCCCTGAGCACAGCCGGCCACACGTGGTCCACACCAGTGCAGGACTCACTTGGACCTGTGTCCTTCCTGCCCTGTTCTGCCAGTGGAGTCCAGTGGCAGTGACTGGACCAGGTGTCTATTTTGCTCAGTGGGTGTCTTTTCATCTGCTTTCTCCAGTGCCCATTTTCTGAAAGGTTCCCTGCACCAGAGACCCCCATCCCTCCTTTCTTCCTGTTACTGCTTGCTGCAGTGTCCCCAGCCTGCCTAGGAGATGCTGGTGTTTGGTTCTAAAGAGCTCTCCTTTGGGCTCAGTGTTGCTCACTCTGCTGTGTCCTGATTTTGATTAAATGACTTTCCTGGAGGGCCTAGATCAGATATCCTGCGTATCAGATACATTGCAATTCATAACAGTAGCTAAATTACAGTTATGAAGTAGCAACGAAAATAATTTTATGGCCTGGGTCACCACAACATGAGAAACTGTATTAAAGGGTCGCAGTATTAGGTAGGTTGAGACCCTCTGCCTAGGTTCAAGATGTGTTAGGTTCAAACAAGCAGAAAGCTTGTAGATGTCATAGTCAGCCCTGAGTTTAGGAGTTGGATGGTCCAAGTGGTCCCATCTATTCATAGCTTTTCTCCAGTTAATACCAACTTATGCCAGCCAGCGGGAGTCCATCTGCACAGGACCTCGGACCTCTAGGGAAATTCATCAGCAACTGAGTGGGAAGAGATTAGAACCCTGGACCACTCACCAGTACCGCAAATCACCATGGGAACAGACAGTGATTTCAGAGCCTCTTGTGGGACTTGAATGTCAGGAATCAGACGTGGTCGTGGGTGTCTCTGTAATTCTAGTTACTTGGGAGGCTGAAGTGGGAAGATTGTGAGTTCGAGGCTAACATTAATCAAAAATTTAAAAGGATGAGCTTGAAGGTATAGTTCATGCTTGCCCAACAGACATGAGGCTCTAAGTCCATCCCCAACATGGAAATAATAAAGAACAAAAGACGAAGGTTGTTCTAAGCTAGTTTTGGTGACCCAACCCAGTAATCTCAGGACTTGGAAGGAAACAGGAGGATTGCTCTGAGTTCTAGGCCAGCCTGGGCTACAGAATAAGATCCTGTCTCAGGATAAAGGGGCACAAGGGAGCACTGTTCTGTTGAATTGTTCACCGATAACTTAAAACAAAAACAAGATGATCAGAGTGTGTTGGCTCACAAGCATGTCTTAAGTGGAGATGAGATGCCCCAGGACTCAGGCTCCCAGAGCCAGGTGGGCCCACTCCTGGCTGTCAGGTCCCGAGGGCCCGAGGCTGCCTCTCGTCATCCTGTGTGGTCCTGTGTCTTAGCTCCCTCCTTCCTGTTCTCCTCTCTGGTTCTGGAGAGCTGAGGCCTACCCTCCTGCTCCAGGCCCTTCATGGTGGCAATGCCAGGTCTTGCCACAGGATATGGGCTTTGGGAATGTTCCTCACTGGGCCCTCTTTCTGTGGGAGTAAGTCCCCTTCTTTGTCTCCTGTGCTCTCCAGTACGTTCCCCAGGACCTCCTTCCCGTGTACAGGGACAAAGTGGTGCCCGTGGCAGACATCATCACTCCCAACCAGTTTGAGGCTGAGTAAGTAACTGCATAGCCAGCAGGGCCGGTGCCCTTGTGAGCCCTGCACCGTCTTCACATGTGTCCTGGCAGCTCCACATCTGCCTGCTCACGTCCTTGGTAGCCCTTAGAGAACCTGGCCTGCACTAGACTAATATGTCACCCTTGACCCTGACCATATAAACCTGTACCCCAACCCTGCAGTGGTTTCCATCGCCTCTAATGTCACGACAAGTGCTCTTTCTGCCTGGTTGTTTGGTCATGATTGTGTGGGCTCACAGTATCCCCATGCTGGCAAGATGCTCCAAGGAGAGAAAGATGAGGTGGCACCTGTCCCGCTGAGAGCTCATGAAGCTGGGAATGCCCCCAGGTGGAACTGGAGGCCATAGATTTCTCTCAGAGCTCACGGCCCCTGATTAGGTGAAGAGTCAGCTCCTAAGAGAGCTGCCAGATACCTAGACTCGCAGGGCACAGTCCTCTCTGGCCTGTGAGATGGTTCCTGCAAACTTGGGATGCAAACACTGGTGGGCATTTTAGACTGAATAGCTGAGGGCCCCAGCTCTGGGCCCTTCCCAAGAAAAGAATGGCATTTCTTTGAGGGCCCTGTGCTGTCAGCAGGCATGTACATGGGTTGTGCTGGCCATTTTGGCCATCAGAGTTCTGTAAACATCCGTTTCCTGACTACAGTGCTGAGGGACATAGGGGCTCTAGACGGCTGGTTCTCACTGGTCTCACCTATAGGCCATCACCACAGGCCGGAACCCCACCATGTCTGTGAGTTTCCTTAGAACGCATTTCCCTCCTGATTCTTCCGTGTGTGTCACTGCCTCCCCTGGTTTCCGTGGCCCGTAGACGCGGTGATGGTCTCTTGTTGGGGATGTAGGTCAGTTGCCAGGATGGTTGAACTGTAGGCACTGGCTCACTGCTCCCATCTGTGTTCCAGGTTGCTGAGTGGCAGAAAAATCCACAGCGAGGAAGAAGCACTGGAGGTAAGGAGGCCTTCACGCACGGCTCTGTTCATGGGGAGGAGATCTTCACACAGGGCCCTAGTTCTTGGGAAGGAGACAGACACCCATCTTCTGGAACAGATGGCATTTGAGAGATACTGAGCTCTGACCAAAGATGTGGAGAACGCCCAGCCTTTGTCCCTCTGGTACCTTTGTCCCTTTGTCTGGTACCTTTGACTGGTACCTCTGTCCCTCTGTCATTTCTATGCTCGGTCTACCACGTGTCCATGCTCTATGAAAGCGTTCTCTCACAGCTATGGAGTCTGAAAGCCCCACATTGAGGTGCGGGATAGGGTGAACTCTTTCTCTTGGGTCCCCAGGAGGTCCAGTCTGCTACAGACTGTGTGTAGTCTATAGCCCATGCATGTTGTCACCCGCTGTGAGCTGGCAGTGGTAGCTAGGTTCAGCTCCTGAGCCACTCGCATTAGGCACCCACAAGTGCGCCCTTGGGAGCACTGTAGTGCAGGCTGGAGCATCCATGGGGTTTAAGGGAATTTCGCCATCTTGAGCCAGGTGTCATGGCTCACTGCACTTGGGAGGCAGAGGCAGGTTAATCTCTGTAAGTTCAAGACCAGCCTGGTCTACATACCAATTTCAGGTTAGCAAGGTTTATATAGTATGACCCTGCTTCACATAATCAATAAAAACAAATGGCAAAAAAGACAGATAAACCAACTTGTAAAGAAGCTTGCTTCTCATTGGTGGATATGACTGGCTTCCCAGTTCCCAAAGAGTTGGGGCAGGGCCCCCAGGCTTCTCCACATTTTCAGACTCTGAGCTGTCAATGGCCCTGACAGAAGATGGCAGACCACAGGCTTGGCCATGTGTGTGCCATGTTCCAGGTCCGCTAGAGCCCATGAAGCATTCTGGCCATGGCTGACTGCTTCAGCTCTGATCGCAGAGGACAGTGGCTGACCAGGGTCATCCACCTTGAGAAGCGTGACTATCAGGAAGCGCCATCGTGGCCGGAGGTGCTGACACTCTCCCTTGCTGCTGGCAGGTGATGGACATGCTACACTGCATGGGTCCGGACACAGTGGTCATCACCAGCTCTGACCTGCCCTCCACACAGGGCAGTGACTACCTGATCGCACTGGGCAGCCAGAGAATGCGTAAGTGCCTGCTCTACCTGCCCTGTGTGCTCCCTGGGTCCATCTGTTTCCGTAGCCCACAGCTTTTAGGCCCCAAAAATTATTGGGGGCTCAGTAGGAGGGAGGTTGTGACTCAGTCAGCAAGGACCTGGTACCTCTTGCCCTTCAAGAGAGTCAGAGAGAAGGCAGGTTCAGGACCAGGGCTCCGTGGAGCCAGAGGGTGGGACCAGATGGGCTATTGGGGACATGAGCAGGCACTCCTAATTGCTGGATGATCAGATAACCATGCTGTGCCAGGACCTCTAGGTTCTTAGGTCTGGTGAGCTACCCCACACCAGTGACTTATGCCAAAAGCAGCTGAGTCTGGCTTCTGTGGCCCAGGTGTCTACAGGGAGTAGGTTGTGCTGGACTTCAGTAATTCGTTATACAAACAGCTATACTTGAAGTATTACAATGCACAGAGCTTGGATGAAGGCTGACTGGAACCCCACGTTCATACCCACTGGCTCCGATGAGCATTCTGGATGCACAAGGTGTGGGGATGCGCACCTGAATGCTCCTGTGCCACACACAAGCATGTAGGCACACACATGTACACACACGCCTGTATACACAGACACATGCATACAGAGTGCATCCAGGCAGTTCCTGGCACTCGAGTGTGTAAGGCCGTGCTAGTTCCAGCTTCTAAGAGTCCAGTGTTTCACTTCCCTTTGGGACAGTGGTGGCAGCAGGGTTCAGTTATGACAGCCCATACTGAGTCCCAGAGCTCCTGAAGGAGGCCACACCACATCTGTATGACATCCCCAAGGAGAGACAATCTGGCCTTCCTGTCACTTCAGAAGAAGTGAAGACAAGTTGGGATCCCATGGCAGGGGTGGCCCTTGTCTAGCTGAGGAGTCTCAGACCCAGTGGCCTGACTTATGTCCTCCCCCAGGGAAGCCCGATGGTTCCACTGTGACTCAGCACATCCGGATGGAGATGCGCAAGGTGGATGCCGTCTTCGTGGGCACCGGGGACCTGTTTGCTGCCATGCTTCTGGCATGGACCCACAAGCACCCGGACAATCTGAAGGTCAGTTGTGCATGTTGCTCCTCTCCACAGCTACTTCTGCACTTTCAGTGGGAATATAGGTTAATATGGTCCCAACAGCGTGGGGCAGGTTTAGTGGGAGCCTGGGCCCGAGCCCAGCCCAAGGATCGGTGGGAGAAACAGCTGACCATCGGCTTGGAAACCCACTGTCCCAGCCACACTTATGTCAGCGTGACCCAAGCTAGAATCATTAGAGAGGAGGGAGCCTCTATTGAGAAAATGCCTCCATAAGATCCAGCTATAGGGCATTTTCTTAATGAGTGATTGATGGGAGAAGGCCCAGCCACACAATGGGTGGTGCCATCTCTGGTCTGGTGGTCCTAGGGTCCATAAGAAAGCAGGCTGAGCAAGCCAATAAGCAGCACCGCTCCATGGCCTCTGCATCAGCTCTTACCTCCAGGATCCTGCCCTGTTCGAATTCTTGTCCTGCCTTCTTTCCATGATGAGCAAGATGTGGAAGTGTAAGGGAAATAAACCCTTTCCTCCCCAAGTTGATTTTGGTCATGGTGTTTCATCGCAGCAATAGAAGCCGTAAGACACCCACCCTGTCAGTCTTGTTGCCCACTCTTCCCTGGTTGGGGAAGTAGTGACACAGGAACCAAGACATGAGAGACTTAAATTTGAAAGTTAGAAATAATGCATGGATGTAGATACGGAGACCTGGGGTTTGAGACTCAGCTGTGGTGGGAACAAAAGCTAGCATCTATACAGGAGTCAGTGAGGAGTCCTGGGCACATGTAGCTTTCTAGCTGCTCCGTGGTGACTCAGAAGCCGCTTCCAGTGCTCAGCCCAGCTCAGGATGTTTCCTGCTATGTGGCCATTGCCTGACTTAATAGACATAGCCTTGAGGACCAAGGGCAGAAGGTTGAGGATGCAGGCTGAAGTAGGCCCTTCCCCCTCGGGCCTGTCATGGACATGGTCTTTCTATGGTTGTCTGTATGTCCATCCCACCTGCTTCATGCACTTATGAGCAGACAGGTTGTTCTTGTTCAGATGCTCCTCAGCAGAGTGGACCGACTGGGACCAAGTCTGTACTAGGTGGACACTCCACAGCTAAGCCACATGCAGAGCTCCAGTGGGACTGTGCTGTGTCTTGGGGATCAGGGATGGGGCTTTTATGTGAATATGTATTTGAGGATGGGGCTCAGCAGGTTCAGAGGAGTTTTCTTATGGCTGTCCCATTGCATCTGTGATCTGATTTGTGTGCATAAAAGCTGCATGGTGACCAATTAGCAGGTCCTTTCTCCTGATGCCCCAGCTGACAGCCAGCATGCCTTCCTCCAGTGCTGTTGCAGACAGAGTACAAGGGCTGGAGAATGGTTCAGTGGTTGTCTTCGTTAGGGTTTCTATTACCGGAAAGAGACACCGTGACCATGGCAACTCTTCTAAAGAAAAGCTTCCACTGGGGTGGCTTGCTCACGCTTTATACGTTCAGTTTGCTATCATCGTGATGGGGAGCATGGCGGCATGCAGGCAGGCATGGTGCTGGAGCTGAGAGTGCTACATCTTGCAGGCAACAGGAAGTTGACTGATATACCGGGCAGTATTCTGAGCAAAGAAAACCTCAAAGCCCGTCCCCACGTTGACACACTTCCTCAAACAAGCCATACCCACTCCAAAAAGCCACACCTCCTAATACTGCCATTCCTTGTGAGATTATGGGGGCCAGTTACATTCAGACTACCATAGGGCAGAACACTAGCATATATAAGGCCTGGGTTCCATCCCAGTATAGCAAACACAAAACGAAAACGAAAAGATAAAATAACTCCTACCCTGGTGTAGACGGCCCCCGGCCTGCAGTCCGCCCACAGACTTGATGTCCTGCACTGTGTGCCAGGGTTAACAGCTGACTGAAGGTTTCCTTCTGTTAGACTGGACCAAGGGGAAAATAAAGGCTGTCATTTAGGGGAGGCAGTTAGTTGTGGGGACCTGGACATAGGTTCCCTGGTGCTGCCCCAGCACCCAGTCCACCCCTTGTGACTTCATCTCTGATTCCTTGCTTATCTGATGGAGAGGGAGATGGGCTCTCGCGTGTCAAGTCCCCTGAAAACTAAATTTAAGTCTAGAAGGCTCACTCCCATTTACCTTCCCTGGCTCTCCGCCTCCTGCCTGCTGCAGGTGTAATTGGCAGCAGTGGGGGTTCGTTTTGTTTGGGGCAGCAGAAACTTGCCAGCTGGCACCCAGAGGAGCCTAACAGTGGGACTCCCAAGGCAAGGCCTGGTTCAGCCAACCCACGTAGGGAACTGAGGCATGTCTGGGCACCTGCTGAGTCCCCCAGGCCTCTGGCCTTGAGAGTCGTGGGCAGCAGTGCTTTCTCTTATAGTCTTTAAAACTAATTACTCCCAGGAATTCTTATTAAACACCTGCTGTGTGCCAGGTGTGCCCAATACTGACAAGCCCCAGCCCGCTGACCCTTCCCATGGGGCATCTCCCTCCACACCCAAGTGGTTTATTTAACAGGCAGCGTCTGCTTGGCTCTCTCCACTGCTATAACAAAATACCTGAGACCGTTTACAAAGAGGGAAGGTTTCTGTCTACTCAAGGTTGCAGAGGTGTCTGTCCATGATGAGACGGCCTTGTTCCTTAAGACCTGTGGCTGTGCATCAGGGTGGGATCCAGGAAGCAAAGAGGAAGGAGATAAGAAACTACACCAGCCTCTTCCAGGAGCCACTCTCAGGGACCTAAGGACCTTGTACCAGGCCTCACTTCCAGAAGTTGTCATCCCCTCCTAGGCAGAGGGCTCGCCTCTAGCATGGGCTTTGGGGGACATTCCAGGCACAGGCTAGTGCAGAAGCATTTCTGTGGGGGTTCATGCAGTCACCCCCCATGTGAGTGACAGTGGAGCGGCTTCTGGTGACTGGAGCAGCTGGTGCTTGTGGGATGTCCTGGACAGCGATGCTCGCCCAGGTAGGCCAAGGCAGCGTCTCTGTCCTCTGTGCAGGTGGCCTGCGAGAAAACTGTGTCTGCCATGCAACACGTGCTGCAGAGGACCATCCGGTGTGCAAAAGGTACCTGCCCTCCTGCTCTGCCTTCCTGGGAGGTGGTCCTGTCTGGAGGTGGGCAGGGGAGGGGGGAGCCCTCCCTCCAGCCTCTGCATCCTGCTGCTGTTAGTAGTGGGGCAGCAGATGGCAGTGTGGAGCGCCTTCTGAAACCGGGAGCTGCAGTGTGGGGAAGGGGAGGGAGGCCCCTGGCTGCGTTCTGCCTGCTCCAATCTTGCTTGTGTTCCTCAGCTCAAGCAGGAGCAGGACAGAAGCCCAGCCCGGCCCAGCTGGAGCTCAGGATGGTCCAGAGCAAAAAGGACATCGAGGACCCCGAGATCGTCGTGCAGGCCACGGTGCTGTGATGGTCGTGTACTCACCCCGACACACAGTGTGTTGGGGTCTCCGTTTCCATCCCCCTGAAAGCTGTAACGTCTGCCTTAGAGCCATGACTGAAACTTGACATTTTGTTTCCCCCTGAGGGTCGGGTCTCAGCCGGTCTCAATCCTGAAAATGTGCCATCATTTTTTTTAAAAATAATAATAACAAAGCAGTGACAGAAATGTGATCAGAAACATGGCCCCTTCCTCCCCGAGGCCTCCTGGCTCCTCATGTTGACTCACTGGTATGTGGAATGTGGGTGGAACAGGCAAGCCTGCTTGCTGCCTGTGGACCGTTCTGTTGGTCACTGGCTGCCACTGCCCCCAGAACCTGGATTGAGCTGAGAAGAGGCCTGTGGTGGCACTGTTTTTAAAATTGGGTTAGGTCTTGGCATCTGGAAGAATTATGCCAAATATCTTCATTGCCATCGGGTCTTACCCTTGTCCCTGCATTAGAGTTTCTGTGTGTCTCTGCTGCTCTTGGTGTCTCTGAGGATGTCGGACTTATGCAGCTGTTGGACTGTGTGGGCGGGTTCCATTTTCTCATGCTTGGGTATGTGCACAAGCATGTAGTCACTGTGATAGGGACCTTTTAAGGGCCCCAAACATTCTGGGGACCCTGCAAGCCCTCTGGGTGTCAGCAGGAGTTCCTGTAACTTGGGACCAAATTCTGGGAAAGCGACTAACATAGAGGTCAGCTGTTGAGCCTGCGGTGGCTTGGGAAGTTCCGGAAAGGTTGCCACACTGGGCTCCTGTGGGAACTCAGCCAGTCCTGCAGCTCTGCTCTTGCCACAGTCTGCCAGGCACAGTGCATTGCTGTTTGGACAGACAGGGAAGGAAGGGCAGAGGGAGCACTGCCCCATACTTTACCGCTGTTTCCTCCCCCGATTTCTGTATTCTGTGCCCATCACATGCCCTTAAGTGAAATCAGCTAACTCTCTGCCTCCTTGGAAGCTGTGCTCCTATAGAGAGCATATTGGCACTGTGGGGGCAGGGGCAGCCCTTAGACTCCTGCAAGTGACAGTGACATGTTCCATTTACATTGTTCAAGGGTGGCTTTCCTGGCTATCCATTCTGGAATTTGGGGTCCCTAAGTCATAGCTGTGAGTGGGGCTCTTATTTCTGTCTCATCTCAGCACCCACACCCATTTCCCTGTCCCTCAGTTCGTGACATTTGCCTCTTCTGAGAAGCCACTGCCTATGGAGAGATAGGAGACTGGAAGAGGTGGGGTCCATGTTGGCATAGGTTCCTTGGGGTGCCTGGCTGCAGCCCACTGGGGGGGGGGAGCCCTGAGAGCCACAGCCACCTTAGCATAGTCTGGTGTTTCCCTTCCCCGTTAGAATGCCCTAGATGCAGGAGACACTGATCCGCATGGGCGGGCACTAGTCTGCCTCTGCTTCCTCCCCAGCCCACATCCTGAGCTCCTCATCTTTCTGGTCACAGCTGCAGGATGGCTCAGCAGGTAAAGCTGCCTGACAGCCTGAGTAACACACATGGTGGAAACAGAGGCCTCGTCCCTGTGAATTGTTCTCTTACACACACACACACACACACACACACACACGATAAATGTCATTTTAAAAATGATTTTGTTAATCAGTATCCTAAGCCAGGTTTAGCTAGCTCTCTGGCATGTGTTTCCTGGTCCCAGTGCCAGCGTCTGAACCCCAAACTTTGCTGACCAGAAAGAGGAGACCCATGGCTAGCAGTCTGGAGGGACAACCACATTCCCCTAAGTCACAGGAAAAGCCCTTCACTGCCTCACAGAGAGCAAGGACACCACTTTGCCAGCAATAAGGAAAACTTCCTTTTTCCTCTCAGAATATTGAGAATGGATGGGAGATTTGGCCCAGAGGGTAGGGGACTCGCCATGCAGACAGGAAGAACCTGAGTTCAGTCCCCAGCACCTGAGTGTGGTGTGCAGTGTGCACTGGAGGACTAAGAACTAGGGAAGTGGGAACAGGAGAGACCCTGCCTCAAAACAAGAAGTGGAGAGCAGTAGACCCCAGATGTTGACCTCTGGCTTCACACACACACACACACACACACACACACACACACACACAATAAAAGGTAAGAGCTGGCATAGGCGGTCCAGGGTGTGGTCATGTTATGTGTGTTGGCGTCTTCATGACCACCCTCTGCAGCCACATCAGGAGAGCCTTGGCTCTTGACTGTAGCCCAGAGCTAATGGTCTGGGGAGGACCCTTTCTGGCTTTCACAGCAGGGTGAGCGCTCTCTCCTCATGAGGACTTTCTCTCAAATTCTGAATTTAATTGTGGTCTGAATTGTCTTTCTGTGTGCTTTGGAGCCCAGAGGACAAGGAGCAGAGGCTGTGGTCCAGGCTTGTCACTAAGAAGAAACAATAAGTGCTGTGAGTAAAGAAACATCTGCAGCCTGCATGCTGGCTCTGGTCCCTTGGTATTCAGATCAGAACTGGCTTTTACTTTCCCTTCCTGTAGTCTAGTTATGAAAGGTATATTTGGAAACGAAGTGGTGTCCTCATTGGGAGAGCCCAGTGTTTAAAGCTGCTTGAGTCTTCAGTGGGCGTGGCCAGGCCTGGCTTCACTCTGCTTATGTGGAGTATTGGAAGGAGGGGATTGTGTGCCCTATAGGCTAGCCGAGTTCCTGGTATGATGTCTCCACCCCCATCTGGAATAAGAGAATAACCCTGAGTGTTAGAGGTTAGGCCCTGTCCTGTCCTTGCTTGGGAAGGCAGGGCCCTCCTGAAGGAGGCACGTGGGCCCTTGTAGCCCTGGGCCCTATGCTGTGCCCCTGGGCGGCTCCTGAACACAGTGTCCTGTTCCCATTGTTTCAAATCTTGTCTGTAGCCTAAAAGTATAGGAAAAAGAAGTGAATGTATCTTGTTATTCTTTGCTTCCGTCCTGCCCTCTGAGGACATATCTGGTCTAGAGTTACACAGTTCTCAGGTGCCCGGTGACCCTGGCCAGACCGCTGCTTGTTCTGACTCTTTCCGTGCGCTTTTCTCTCGGGTCAAGGTATCTATCTTGGCCCAGACAGGGGACAGGCAAGGACAGACTTGGTGGTGGCATCCAGATTCCATGTGCCCTCCAGAGGGTTCTGCAGCCCAGAGACCCCTTTCAGTGCTGTCCCTCTGCCACTGGGAAGCTTGTCTCCCAGCCATCCATGTAGATACCTACAGTGGGAGTCCCTGGGAAGAGGGTCTGTCTGAGTGACAGATGTCTGGTGACCCTCCAGTGGATACCTCGGAAAGGTGTCCCCTGAGGAGCAGTTCTGGGAGGCCTGGTTCACTGTAAGGTTCTTCATAGAACAGTGGGCTCTGTAGGGAAGGCTTGAACCTGGTCCAGCAGTCTGGGTAGATGCTGCTGCCAAGGGGCCTTGAATGATGGAGGAGCGCCCTGGAGCGGAGGCACAGCTGGACACGTATGTGCCAGTTCATTCCTTTCCCGTACTTCCTGTGACAGCTTCAGATGGCAGCTGGCAGGGCATTTGCAGGTGCCAATCTTGTGGAATCAATGTAGGGAGATTTCTGCCTCCTCTTGCATACTTTCAGCCTCCACCAGTAGGGGGCGCAGTGGGGCAGAGTGGTATCAGCTGCCCAGGCAGATGCTGGTGCCAACAGGTTAAACAGCAGTAGATCTTTGTGTTAGGATCCAGACTTTGTTGCTGTATGATGACACCTCAAGTAAGTAGGAGCGCACTGTGTCCCCAGTTCTTGCTTGACATTCCAGGCAGCCATGCCTTGATCAGCATGGCCTGACTTGACAGTTCCTAAATTTGGGGTTATTTTGAAATGTGTGTGTCTCTTTGTTGACTCTGGTTTATTCTTGTTGCAGACATTTTCTGTGCAAAAATTAATTTAAAATAATGTCTTATGCCATATTCTCTCTTCATTGCACCCTAGTTTGTTTATTTGCTTAAAACAAGAATTTAATGAGGAACTTTAAATTGAACCATATTTAGGGTTTTTTTTTAGCTAATGGAAAAATTTTCCTGGCATGGTGGTGCACACCTGAAATCAGCTACCCTAGAGGTGGAGGCAGGAGGATAGCTATGTATTAAGAGAGTATCTGGAAATGCACATGTTTATTCTCGGATTTTCTTTCTTCTTTTCAATTTCTGGTGGAATAAACACTATTTAAAGGCTTCCTCACTGTGTGAGTCAGGCAGGAGCATGTCCTCAGAGCAGGGGTCTCCATCTGTCTTACCCACCCTGACTGGAGCTGAGACCCGGGAACACCCACTTCAGGGTGGTGATGGTGAGCTGAGCTTCCCCATGCTGGCGTCTCCTCTTTTCTTCCCCCAGCTCACTGTGGGCAGTTTCTGCTCTTTCTGCGACAGGATAGACATTCCAGGTGGAAAAGGTCTCCCTATAAGCCATGGCCCCACCCTGCTCCTGCCAGCTCTTAAATAGCTAGCTATGGCTGCCTCTGCCCTGCAGCTTTAGGTGGAGGGACACAGAGTGGAGAGCCTGCCACTCACATTTCTATGCTTGGAAGCTCCCAGAAGGCCTTGGGGTGTGACCATGACCGTGCCTCACTTCCCATCCTATAGAGCCAGCAGACCCCATCAGGGCAGGCTGAGATGCTGTGTAAAACTATGGCCACACTGCCTGCCTTGCAGGGCTAGGCAGCTCCCCATGAAGACAAGTGGAGGAGCCTTTATCCTTAGTGTGACCTGGACTGGTACCATGGAAGTCTCTGAGCTATATTCTCACCAAGGACCTGGTTTGTGCCTGACATGAGAAGGGTTTGCTCTGGGGGTGACAAGACAAATAGAAGACCCATAGGCTTAGCACATCCTTCTAGTATCCCACAGAGCAGGAAGGCAGAAGCCAAATTCCCTGAAAGCTCAGACCTGATTGGTTCCCACAGAACACATAAGATCATTTCTGGGTGATGGGCGGTGGGATGTCAGTGCTTTTGGAGATGGTGGTGGATTCTAAATGAACATAGCTCTTGAAGGATGAAGCAGGGGTGACATCCTGAGTGCTCTTAGCTTCATAGCTGTCTAATTCCTGATCCAGACCTTGTCAGAATTTCTCCCATGTGTTGCAAACCTGGACCAATCAGAAGACGGGCTGCTATGGGGCTGGCCCGACCCTACTATTTCTCCCCAGAGACCACGACCTTTTGGAAGCTCCTAGCCTTTAGAGCAAAGCACAGCTGGCCCACAGTCCCTGCTGCGCAGGGGGGACACGCTCTGGGCTCAGGTGGTCTCTGGCCCAAGTCCCTCAGCCCCATGTACTGTCCCCTGTCAGTGTGTTTGTAGACTCGAGCACCTGTCTGTTTTGTGCTGGTCTGTTGACTTCTATGATTATCCACAAATAAATATTTTCACTGCATTTGTGTTCATGTGATTGCATCTACCCAGCCTGCCCCTTGTGGTTCCTGATCAAATGGGTGACAACTAAAACACCCCTCAAAGGAAAGTGTGTGCTTGGTCCCACTGTGGTGGCTCGCAGCTCACCCTTCACTCACCTGTCTCTGGGGACTGTCTGGTACCTTGGGGCCCATCCTGAGGATTCCAGCAGGATTCACTGGGGTAGGAGCTTGGAGGTGGAAGCCCTGCCCTGCTGCTCCCTCCCAGGTTCTGAAGATGAGTCCTTGGCTGAAGGTCCAGATCTCAGTTGTTAGTGAGCTCTGGTGCCACCTGGCATTTGGCATTTGACAGTGACATTGAGTGCTGAACTTAGAGGTACCGTGGCTGTAGCTCTCTTGTGTGAAGCCTTGGATCGGGTCAGCAGTGGCCTGAAGACACTCAACTGCCCCGGATCACCTAACTCTTGAGATCTTCAGTTTAATCCCATCATTAGCACCTCTTGGCCATGCCAGGTATTATCTCTGCAGGTTTAGGATATGGCCATCTTTGGCGGTCGTTCATCAGTGGGTGACATCCTGAGACAAGCGTGGGACAGGGTGGAGTCTTGACTCGGTCATCTCTCCCCTCTGAGGATCTAAGTCATAATCCCACCAAGGCTCAAAATCAATCTCACCCAACTCAAGGTCTTCCCCCAGTGAGGAAGGGATGCTGGTTTCAAGCTCACTACCTTCAGGGCTTCAAGTTGGTGTGTGGATCGGTACCCCAAGGTCAAAGTGTCCACCAGTAGTGAGGGAGATGCTGTCCCTGCTGCTAGAATAAGGACATAAAGGGGAGGGGTGGGAGAAGAGGTCCCCAAGGTTTGTAGTAAGCCAGCCGGACTTGTGGATTGCTAGGCCTCCTGAGACTGTCACAAGATCTGGGTCACAAGATGTTTCTGTCTCTGGCTGCATTCTGTGAATCATCAGCACTCTGGCACTTGCTGAGTCCAACCCTGACTTCCCGGTGTGCCTCTGCCAGGGCCTCCCTTGAGTCTTGTGTAAGATTGTTCTCTTTTACTCTGTGTGAAGGTAGGGAGCCTGAGGGTGTGGCCAGTACTCACTAAGCCAGACTTTCCAGAAACCTCCAGGATCTTGCCCTGCCTGGAATCCCACCTCCACTACCCCAGGGAACCATTAAGTGCAGGCTAAGCTGACAGTGAACCCCTCCATCGGCTGCCCCAGGCCATCAATGCTGCCCTGCATTCCTGTGGCATGGCCTTTTCCACACACAGAGCATCTCCCTGCCAAGTAGACTCCAGCCAGGGAAGCGGGAGAGGACAGACAGTGGCTTGCACCACATCTGTCTCCTTATTGCAATATAACATCACACTGTTCACCCAGTCAGAATGTGAAGGCCGGATCTGGCTATCGATGGACCTGGAGGAGCAAAATGAATTCTAGATATCTGTCCCCCACCCCCAATGGTGTTCCTGAATGTCGGGGTTTTGTTGTTGTTGTTTTCTGTTTGTCTGTTTTGTAATCAGGCCTTTCTAAATATCACGGTTAAATAAGATGAGGACAGCAGGATTAGGACTCTGTCTCATGTCTGGTGTCCTGATGAGAAGGTGGCATCATTACTTGAGAGAATAAACTTGATGTTAACATAGACTTGATGTTTAAGTCACTTGGTTGTGACAGTCTCTGAACAGTATGTCTTGATGCCCATGTTCAGGCATGGACCCAGCTATTCTTTTTTTGTTTGTGTGTTTTTGTTTGTTTGGGTTTTGATACAGGATTTCTTTGTGTAAGAGTCCTTGGGACTCCCTTTGTAGGACTCCCTTTGTAGACCAGGACTAGGCTGCTCACACTCACAGAGAAATGCTTACCTCTGCCTCCGGAGTGCTGAGACACCACCTCCTGACCCAGCTAGTCTTTTTTCTTTTTCTTTTTTTTAATGTATACAATGTTCTGTCTGCATGTATGCCTGCCGGCCAGAAGAGGACACCAGATCTCATAGATGGTTGTGAGCCACCATGTGGTTGCTGGGAATTGAACTGAGGACCTCTGGAAGAGCAGCCAGTGCACTTAACCTCTGAGCCATCTCTCCAGCCCCGACCCAGCTATTCTTAAAGCTTGGATATACCTATGGCCCAGAGCACACAGCTTCTCTTGGCTCCCGGTCCTTGCACCCAGCTGGGCTGCTAGACATGTCTCCGCTGTGCTCTTAGCCCTCCCTCAGCTCTCAAGGCCCCCAGAGGCCTCACATTAGAAACACCCCTGAGCTTTATGCATGGCCGCTGCCAGCGCCAGGACCACAGAACCCACAGTTTCTTCTGCGCCTCCAGTGACTCTGATGCCATCCAGGCAGAAACAGACTGCACTCCTGCACATGCCGCAAGCGGAGCAATTCCACCCCTCGGGTCTGCAGTTTTCCCCTTGCACAATGAGCACCCAATTATGATTACATGCATTGTTATCACCGCCTTAATGAGAATCTAATCTCGCCTGTCCCGCTGCACCTAACAGTTTTATTTCCCCGTGCAGCCTGACAGTGCGGAAGGGTGTGGTGGCATGGCCTGACTTCTTTCCCGGCTGGGGGCGGGGCACTGTTAACAATCCTGGCTATCTTGCTCAGGCTCCTCACAGACAACCAGCCCAGTGCATGGCTACTCTGCTCAGCTAGAGGACAGGCATGGGGTGCAAAGCTCTCAGACTTGGGGTGCAAAGCTCTCAGACTTCAGAACAGTAACAGACCTCTGGATGCCTGAGGGCCGCTGCTTGGCACTGGGATCCTGAATGAAGACCCGAGGCTCTTGAAATGGAGTATGTAGTACCTTCTCCATCCCCATCCTCCAGGGCAGTGTGGGGAACACCGTAAAGGGGCTCGTTTCATGTGTGGAGGCAGAATGAGCACTTTCAAACTGGCCTCACCACGCAGACTCCAGCCTAGAACAGCCCATCTCGCGGATGCTGGGCATCTCACGCCACCCTTCACCCGTTTTCCTCATCTGGACTTGAATGTGTACAGGTGCTCAGAATGCCTAGCGCCAGCACATGGTGATGCTGCCAGGCTGCCCAGCACTAAGTGTGCCAGTGATCATCCTTCCGAGGGGCAGAGGTGGTGACCTTAGGCACAGGGATAAGCCCCAGCTATGGTAGGGGTGTCACAAGCAATGGCTTTGCTGATTTCTTGAGTCACTTGTCCACATAGCCCAGGCAGGACACCCTGGGGGAAGGCATGTCTATCAGAATCATGAGTAAGGTCTGGAGTCCAGGGGCCGAAAGGGGCGTAGTCCATTGCAAGTGAGTAGGGGTGACTTTATTGTCTCTCCGCTGTCCCAGAATGAGGATGTGGTGAGGCTAAGGGCCGAACACCCTGATTGGGTCACAAGCTTGGGCCTGCTTACCAGGGACTTGCTAGGCCTCCAAACCCTCAGCTCTGGCTGTGCTGGGCACACAGATCATCCAAGTGGAATCTCTCAGCATTGTTCCAAAGGGCTCTCCACGGTCCTTCAGCAGCCATGTTCAGCCATGTTCAGGCTCCACCAACATGATCTCTCACTCTGTTACCGCCTAGGCAGTGGGAGAGAGCTCAGCCCGTGACATCTGCATATCTCAACTGGAACACGGATCCTTTCACAGACCTGTCAGCCCCCACCCCCTTCTCATTCACACCCTAGACTTGTCTGTTGTTTGGATGTGACATGTCCCTTTAGGCTCTTGCACTGGTCCCACAGCACACTCTGAGGTAACCGTCACGCGAGGGTGACTTCACCAATGGGTTAATCCAGGGATGCAGTTCTTAGCTGAATGGCCATTATGTGGAGGGGCCTGGTTGGGAAGGAGGTCAGGGCTGTGCCTTTGAAGTGTGTAACTTGACTTCCTCGGTCCCTTCCTAGCTCCATTTGCCTTCCAGTTTCCTTGAGGTTGAGTCACCCAGCCCAATCATAGGCTCCTAGTCAGAGGTCACAGAGCTCAGTCGTCCCTCTATACTTTTCTCAGGTGAGGAGAATGTAAGTTTCTAGCTCGCTGTGGGCACGAGGATGGCCTGAGGTAGAGGAAGGATGGTGGAGGAAGGAGGGCCTCTGCACACTGCCTCCAGGAGCCAGCCAGCCCTCCAGGTGTCAGAGCGGCCATCACAGTGCATGCCATGTGACCCCCACCCTGGCAGCAGGGTACCCCAGCAACCTCCACTGTTTCTCCCTCCATGCTCTCTGAGGGGAGCATTTGATGAAACTGAAAACCTTGTAGAAATCACTTTACCCACAAGGGTTCGTACCAGGCCCTGCATCTGTCCCAGCTAGTATCCTCGTCCTTCAGTGACCTTGCTGTCCTGATGGCACAGCTTCCAATCTTAAACCCAGCTGCGGCCTGCCCTGGTTGCTCATAGTGGTGTCGGGGGAGGAGTTCTAGTCACAGCTGCTGATTCGCTGATTCACCTCCCTGTTGGATGACACAAGGCCCCTTCTTACACCCTCAGTGCTGTCTGTCCTACCTGCTTCGCACTGAGCCTCCTGGCCTGGAACACGTCAGACTTCCCATTTTATGTTCCGTCGACTGTCTGGTGCTGCCAGGGATCTAGTCAGGGCATTGCACCTTCAAGTTACAGTTTTATTCTTGGGGTCCTATGTGGCGCAGGAGGCTTGGCCCATCATACATCCTCACCACCTCCTCACTGCTCTGTGCACTCTTGGGCCACCCCTCACCGGCCTTCTCACCAGGGCTGTAAGTCTGTCTGCGTGCTCTGCACAGTCCTGATGTGCCTCGGAGGTGACTCCACTTCAGCGGGCCTCAGGAATGTGTTCACAGCGTGACTCTGAACTCAAGACTGGCCAGAATGCCTCCACTCAGGAACACACAGGGGCCCAGGTTGTGCTCCGAGCTGTGCAGCCAACAGCTGTGGCGTGGCGAGTACCGCAGCACGTGAACATGGCCCACCAGCCTCGTGCTGACACCCTAGAGCTGGTGGACTGGGCCCGTTATCGTCGGAGACTGAAGCATGGGAACTAGAGCCCATAGCTGAGGTGAGTCATCTCTA